GCATTTATGAGCCTCTGCTCCTGAGGCAGCTCCAAAATAGATCAAAATATAGCAAAATATATCAAAATATATCAAAATATATCAAAATACATCAAAATAAATCAAATTGAGAGGCAGCTTAAATTCAACAGCTTCTAACATCAGCATGAAGTGCAACTTCAGGGAACTGAGCACAAAGAGAAGGAAAGTGTCCAAATATTCCGAAGTCAGAATCAGATGGAATAATATTCAGTGATTATGGTATGTAGAGCAGTTGCAGAAAATGTTGAAGAATGGATTCCTGTGAGATTTTTCTCTCTTGCAGCTGGTTCTGCACAATGAGAAGGATTTCTCATCACTTATCAACCAGTAACTAGTGGAGAAGTAAAAATCACTGTGCAAGAACTATTGGAGCTTAGCTCTGGCAAAAGAATATTTTCATGATGTTAACAAGAACTCGTTCAAAAAGACCCAAAATATGAGAATTGGTCTCAGTGTTCCTGCAATCTGTGTGATATTCTAATGCTCAATAAAATCCTAGAGGAAGAATATTCTTTTAACACTTCACATCAGAAAATGCTGGCTTGGTGTTGAGTCATAACATGACAAAAACCTCATCTACAGTTTAATTAATGTGCTGTGGGTGGGGTAAAATGTTCTAATACCAATAAATTAAAAATTATACAAAAACTGTGAGGGGATTTTAAAACTTTTGATTCAACTTTTTCCTCATCTACAGCATGAAAAGCTGAAGCACATCAATGCTGATTAGCTCTTATTTCCACTCAAGATGTCCAGGCAGGAAAGCTGGGTTATTTTTTTTAACTTGAGTCTATTAATTTAGATTATTGATCCAAAAGTCTTTTCAAATCAATAATTAGAGATACTCAAACCCATGCTCTGCAGTCACACAGATGATACAAAAAAATGGGCTTTGATTTGGGCTGGATAGCAGAAACGTAACAAGTTAATAAAAAAGAAATCATTTATTAAAAAATATTGTAGTGAAGCAACATGTAGGAAATAATTGATTAATGAGTCATATCACGAGGGGAATTGGGCACTGGGAGAGACATGAGCAGTCCCTGTCCTTGGAGGTTTTTAAGGTGCAGCCAAACACCAAGACAGCAGCTCCAAGTTCAGTGCTGAACTTCTCCAACCCAGAAATTTCACCTGAGACATTCCCAGGTCCCTCCCAACCTTTGCAATTCCAGAAATCCAAGTCCCTGCCAGGGTTTCAGACCAGGAATAGCAGCACAAGAAAGGGATGTGTTGATGTGTTGACCCAAAAATTAAGGAAGAGCAGGAAAGAAGATTGAAAATGCTTTTCTGTAATTTGAATCCAGCAGGTTCCTCCCTTCAAAAGGGATTGGGCAGAAGGTGCAGCAAGACACGACTGAGCTCAGGGGAATGCTTTGTTTGCAAAAACTCCCATGAAAATAAAAACTAAAAAGGAAAATATTAGGGTTTCTGCCTTCAGCAATTCATTTAGGAAAAATATATTGGCCACTACTGGTGTTGCTCTCTCAAAGTTTAAAGTACAAGGACATTCAGTTAAATTAATAAATGGATAATCAGGATCAATAAAAGAATAGATTCCCTTCTTCCTGAAGGTTTCATTAATGAAATAGGAAGATAAAAAAATGAGGAAGACTCAGCAGCTCTATGTACATAATAGAAAAACTCAGAATTTTCATAAACCAGAAATCAAAAAAATTTTGGAAAAATCACATACTGAACCAAACTTAATGATCAGAGACTGGAATGATCATTTAAATGCTTAAAAAATTAACTTTCTTCAGTGTTCTAGGTAGTTCTTACCTCATCTTTGGAAGCATTTGACCTCAACTACTGAAAACTCTTCTCCATGAGATGGAGATCAGATATCACCAAGCAAGTTTCAAAATACAGATGAAATTATGGTAACACTGCATTGGCACGTTTTTCTCCGTGTGATTTTGAGTTTCTCATTGAAAGACCCTGCATTTTTCATTTTTGCAACATTTAAAATGTGAAAGCTGGCACACAAATATCTTTGGATCTAAGACTGGATAATTCAGGGCAAGAAAACTTGAATAATTAAGGACAAGAACCTCTGAAAGGGCACAAATCTATTTCACCTGAAAGCTGCCAGAATGGCCTGGATTTATTCTGCTATTTCACATCTGTTGAAATGGAAAATGGAAATGCTTTGTGAGAAAGTGATGAATTTCAAGAACAGTAATGGAAAAGTTGGGAACATCCTGTTAACAGTGTAATAAGCACTTCCTCTGGAGTTAAACTTTATGTTAGTCTTAATATATTTAATATCCTGAAATATCAAATATTCATGATCTGTGGGAGTGCTGGTTGGAGAATGATGGGGTTATTTTATAACAGCTTTTAAGGCTTGGATTCTTTTTCCACCATACATTAGAATGCAGAGTAAAAAAGAGGAAAAGAGTGAACCAACATCCTGAATATTTCACAAAGCACAAGGCTGTGGAGAGCAGGTCCCTCCTCACCTTCTCCATCTCACCTCTGTTTTCCCTGTCCTCTTTCTCTCCACTAGAGAGAAATTTGTCTCACAGACACCTCCTTTTGAAAAAGTTGCAAAGGTGATAAAACTTAAAGAAGTTTTTTGCTTTGAATAAATGCAATTTTTCATTGAAATTATTCAATCCAATTAAAGTATGTAATAAATTTAACAGACAGTTATATTATTATAATTTAAAAACCCAGAAGTCAATTTTAAATGTTTCCTGGAAATGAGCATATAATAAATTCAATTTAGTGGGAAGGCTTATGGATGAGCTTGAATATGAATTTTAGAAATGGCACTAGATTTGAAATGGAAACTTCAGCCCAGAAATCTGCTGCATCATTTATATTTCAGAACATTTAATCTGTCTATAGCATGAGTGCTAACACCTTTTTAAGCTGGGAATATTGTTGCTCTGGGAAGGCACTGCCATGGCCCAGATTTCCAGAGATTAGGCTGGAAAAGGTGGCAAGTGGAAGAATATTGAATAAACAGTAAATCAGTATATTAACAAATTAATAAACAGAACATGCATGCCCAGGGAAACAACCTGCAGCACAGGACCAGAGCTGGAAAAAGAAATTATCAATTTTGGCTTGGACAGATCCTTACTGAGAGCCTCTGGAAATGCAGATTCATGGATACCACAGGGTCCCCTGAGAAATGTGGGAATTTACCAGTCCTGAGGAATTCCTCAGGATTCTGGAAACAGAACAGCTGCTCAGACTGATTTCAATGGTGCAAATATATCACGAGTCTGCCTCTTACAGAACTCTCATCTAAATGTTTTAAGCTTGAGACCTATAAAGCTGAATATTGGCTATTAATTCCCTTTTCTTCCCACTTTGGTTGCAGGACTAGAAGTTATTAAGACTAGAAGTTGTAAAGTTTATTACCCCATTTCATGTGTCCAAGACAGGCTGTTCTTTTCTAGGCTGACCTCATCAGAGAGGTGGTTATCAAAATCACACTGAAATGAAATCAATTTATTCCACCTACCTAAAGCTGAGGGTTTAGCTAAGCTATCAGAAAAAGCAAAAAAAAAGAAGTTCAGATAGGTTATCTACCTTCAAAGCACAAGATCTGTTTCTGGGGAAATGGTATAAACTAAAAGAATGGAAGAACAATCAAATCCTGGATGTAAACTTCAGAAATGTAAAAATAAATCCTTTTTAAAGTCCCTTCAGCCCCTTCTGAGCCCAGGGCTGCTCCCAGGGCTTTGTGTGAGTGCACACACGAGCAGCCACGGAGTCTTCCCTGCACCCCGGAGGCAATTAAACCACGCTGGCATACATTTCCATCCTCAGCCATTCCTTCTGATGGAGAAAAAAAAAAATCATTTTTGCTCAGTTTCAGTTGCTCCCTGCCAGCTGCAGCCCCTCAGCCAACTCCAAAGGGCTCCTCATTCCTCCCTCTGGCATTTCTCCCCTCCTCTAACCTACCCCGTGCCCATCCCTGGGCAGCATTTCTCCATTTCCCTGCAGTGACTCGAGGAAATCTCTGTGTGGAAATACAGGACAGGGAAATGCAGCAGCAAATCGAGTGGCACAGCTGGCAAACACACCCAGGACCAGCCACAGGGAGCAGCCAAAATGTTGAAATATTGACGGTATCAGAGATGTGTGCAGTTGAGATAGCTGAAAAATTTCACTCTGGGGTTTTCTGAATTTCAGAAAATCCAGTACATTTCAAATATTTCGTTCATAAACAGAGGCCGCTAAAACAGAAACAAACAAACAAAAAAACCCCAACCCAACCACAACCCAAACTACGCAAGAAACAACTGAAAATTAAAAGTTTCAATGCACCAATTTTGTTCCTGGTTTCCTTTAGTTCCAACATGAGGAACCAGGGCTTTTTTTTAGATCCTCCCTCCAGACCAGTGGCTCTTTTCCTGTCTCAGTGCAGTTGATTATTCACAGATTCCACTCAGAATTATTCAGATTATTCAGAGATTCTATTCAGTGGCTGACACCACTCCAGGGGCAGCTTCTCCCTCATCCCATGGCTCCCTCTCCCTGCTCCCAGTCAAAAAAGTGCTAAATATTTTTCTTTTTCCCCATAATATGCCTATCTTGCTACTTCTCTGAGTGCTTTCATTATTTCTGCTCTTCGTATTCAATCTGTATTTCTAAATTATCTTTTCATTTGCATCAAAACTCTCCGTGGCTCTTTTGTGGGACTGAGAGTTTTGACTTCTGACAATTTGGGGCAAAATCTAAATTTTGCAGAATTTGTGCACAGAAATCAACCCAACATGGTTTTAGAGTTCAAGGACCAGCCAGTAAAGCTCATTGCTAAATTAACAAAAATAAACCAAAACTTAGCCTCACCTAAGAGAATTAGGGGAAAAGCAAATCACGAAACCAAAAGGAACAAAAAAAAATGCAAACAACTCATAATTCCAATTAATTTTGCTATTTATACACCCCTCGAGGGTAGGAATTCTCCCGTTCTGATGGCAATGAATACGAATGGCAGCAGAGGATTTCAGCCTCACCTTTCCAGTGGATTTGGTGCCTTTCCAGATGCAGAAATAACAAATAGTCCAGGCAGCCAGGAGGCACAGGGCGAGCTCCCAGCGCAGGTTCCCAATGTGCTCGATCCCATCGGAAATGGCCAGAACCCTGCGTCTTCCATGGGAAAAAAACAGGAGAAAAAAAATGATAATATTGAGCTAAAACAGCACTGCATGTGAAATACGGGGATAAAAATGAATTCAGTAATAAAAAAAAAATGATAATATTGAGCTAAAACAGCACAACGTGTGAAATACGGGGATAAAAATGAATTCAGTAATAAAAAAAAATGATAATATTGAGCTAAAACAGCACTGCGTGTGAAATACGGGGATAAAAATGAATTCAGTATTTTAAAAAAAATTATAATTTTGAGCTAAACCAGTACTACGTGTGAAATAGTGGGATAAAAATGAATTCAGTACAAAAAAAAAATATAATTTTGAGCTGAAACAGCGCTACGTGTGAAATACTGGGATTAAACCAAATTAATCACAAAAAAAAATTCATTATATTAAGCTAACACAGCACTACATATGAAATACTGAGAAAAAAGTGAATTCAGTACAAAAAAAATTATAATATTGAGCTAAAACAGGATTGCATGTGAAATACGGGGATAAAACTAAATTAATTACCCAAAAAATTATAATTTTGAGCTAAACCAGCACTACATATGAAATACTGAGAAAAAACTGAATTCAGTAAAAAGAAATTATAATTTTGAGCTAAAAGAGCATTACATATGAAATA